GGTCCTCTCAGTCCAGCTGTGGACCTCCAGGCCTGTCAAACTTCAGCACCGGCTGGATCCACGTCATGACACGATCCGGACTTCAAAGGGTAAACCCAGGGCACAGACAAACTCAAAGTACTTAAAAAAGGATTTTAATAACAAAAAGAGGCTGACAAGCAGCTCAAAAGACTTACAAAGTGTGGCGTAGCTTAGGACTTCAAAACTTCACATGACGGAACAGACCGACAACACAGTACAACAATCAGACAAAGGACTGAAGACAGGACACTGAACATAAAGGTCAACTAATGAGGGCAAACTGGAAACACCTGGGAGGAACACAAGGGAACACTGAAACACTAGGATGAACCAAGCTAAATAAACTCAGACCATGACACGTCAAGCCAAAACTGGCTCCTGTTTCAAAATAAAAGTCCTTCCCAGAGGAAGCTGGTGTGTGGTGGGCACAGCCGGTGGTCTCGTGTCCAGGCTGCCAGATTCCCAGTGGGTGTGTGGCTTCAAAGCACTGGTTCCCCTCCAGGAGAACACAGCTGCTCCATGTTTGGACACTGGTGTGTGTCCTAACTGAGTGYTGGACCAGTTGTTAGTTCCTAAAGAAGACCAGTTCCTCGGTGGGCCCTTTGTTTCRTGACTTCGGACCACCATCTGCAACTAAACACYGACATGTTGACCTGGACCTTCACACTGAAAYAAGCAATGATTTCAACTCTAAACATTTGTACAGGATTGAAACAAATCAAACCTTGATGTTTTAGGATAAAACTTTTAGTTTAGTGAAGTTATTTCAGCAGAAGAACCGTCCACAGCTGAATCCCAGTTCAACACAAGGATCTGTTCTCCTTCCTCACTAACTTTCACAAACTCTCTGATTATCAAACGCACAAGAACTCTTCGTTAAAANTCACAATAAAAGACTTCTCAACAGAAGTTTTTCTAAATGCTTGGAGCTTGAAAGCAGGTTGTTTTGGTCACAACTGATGATGTCATGAAGCTGTAGCAAAGACCTGCTCATTAACACCTGAGGTCACATCTGATTTTCCTGAGGACACACAAACAGCTTCTCCTCGTTACACAAACATGGTGTGTGTCTGACCCGGGTCAGGTTCTACAGAGAACGACACTAAAGGACACGCCTCCACTTTGGGTCAACAGGTGGATCAGAACGTTAGTGTCAGAACTTCCCACCAGTCAGGTAAACACAATGGTGTGTGTGTGTGTGTGTGTGTGTGTGTGTGTGTGTGTGTGTGTGTGTGCGCGTGTGCACATGAACACAAAGAACACAACGTCAGACCCTGCTCAGTTCTTTACACGACTAACACTAAATGGTTTTAATGAAACTGAAGTGAATTATTTCAACTAAAATAAAACTTAAGATATTTGTCTAAGATTCAACACAAATAATTATTTATATTTCATAATAAAACAATGAACTAAACCACAGAGATCAATTTAAAGAAAAATAAAACTGTCAGATAACAGATGATCCAAAAAAACATTTACATAAAACAAACTGGATCAATTTTCTTTTTGTGTTTCTTCTTTTCTAAATTATAAGAC